ACCCTTAAGGGCCATTTCTGAGCAAGTGAGACTCCCAAGTGAGAACTTGGGCTCACAGGATTATCCATATTGGGAATCAAGTAGTGTTGCAGGATTTTCATCTGTGTGACCAATTGACTTTCCTAAGTTAATTCCAAATACTGCAGGTAATTCCAAATATTTCTAACTCTTTTACGAGGAGAGATCAGTACATTCTCAGGAGATAGAGAAGACAGGTTCAGAAGAAAGCAGATAAGTTCAGTTTGCAATAAGAGGGAGTTTCCACAGTAATTTGAGTGATCACTAACCCAAATGTAAAAGGGTGTTGCTTAGCTCAGTTGGCTGGATAGCTTGTTTGCACTGCAGACTGATACCAAAAGCACGGGTTCAATTCCTGCACCAGCTGAGGTTACCACGAAGGGCTCTCTATCTCAAGCTCTCCCATTGCCTGAGATGTGGTGACCCTCAGGTTAAACTATCACAAAGCAGTTTCTCTATAGCGAGAGAGCTGCCAGTTGGACTACAGCCTTTAGAAAAAGAAAGCCCTGGCACACAGTCTGGCAGCTCCATAGTACCATTCATTCTGTCCTGGTGTAATCATGCACGATCTCAGTAAATGCTTTCTGAAAAATGACAATATATATCACAGATTAAATCACAAAGCAACAGTGGGGGCCAGAAGAGAATAATGAGAAAATAGCTGTTGTTCCTTGTAGAAAGCAGGAGTAGCTGCACTTGACTAAAGACTAACATCTTAAAACACTCTTGGGAGCATACATCTCACATACAGGCAATGGAAAAAGTCTCTCTTGTGTATTACAGGCAGCACACAGTAACCATGACATGACTTATAAAACAGCAAGTGATGTGGGGTAGATTCGGGGATCTTGGCAACATCAAACTATCAGGAAATGATACTAAGGAAATATTTCACCTCCCGAGTGGCAGAAAAGACTATGGATGAACATGCTGAACATTATCAAAGCTTTCAAAACTTGGTTTATTCATTTCATTGTCATGTAAATCACCAAAACTAAGCCTGTCTCTAACACCAGTGAGCTGAAAGGAATGGTCACAAAGTCACCATTTCTCAGGTCAGAAAGTTATGCCTGTATCAACACAGCCACTGCCAACACAAAAAAGAGCTTTACTGAGTCCTACACAACACATGATACTGGAAGCATATCACTCAAACCACCAATAGCACTGAAATGATAGCGCAGTTTGAGCAACCAAACTCAAAGCTCCCTGACATTTATGCAGCTCTAACTAGGCTGGCTCCATGTGTGAAAAGCACTTAAGATACAACTGCAAAGTCATAATAAGGTAGAACTAAGAGACAACATGGAAAATACGTAAACATTTGCTAAATCAATGGTTATGGACTTTTAGATGAAGGATTCCTGTATTTTTCCTTGTAAGCTGTCTCGACTTTTATTTGTCTGAAACGATGCTAAAACTATCTCAGAGATGAAAAATAGTTACTTGGCAATGAGGCAATGGACAAGCATCAGCTTTTTGTATTTTGTACAGTCGGTGGGAAGACACATTTATATCCATTCAAGCTTACACCGATGACAGTCATAGAGTCATAGTCATACAGCATGGAAACAGATTCTTCGGCCCAAACCATCCATGCCGACGAAGTTTCCTAAACTGAATTAGTCCCATTTGCCTGCTTTTGGCCCCTATCCCTCTAAACCTTTCTTATCCATGTATCTGTCCAAATGTCTTTTAAACGTTGTAATTATACACACCTCTACCACCTCCTCTGGCAGCTCATTCCATACATGTACCACCCTCTGTGTGAAAAAGTTGCCCCTCGGGTCCCTTTTAAATCTTTCCCCTCTCACCTTAAACCTATGTCCTCTAGTTTTGGACTCCCCTACACTACGGAAAAGACCTTGGCTATTCACCTGATTCATGCCCCTCATGACTTTATAAACATATATAAAGTTACCCATCAGCCTCCCATGCTTCAGGGCAAAAATTCCCTGCCTACCAGCATCTCAGAGTCATACAGCACAGAAACAGACTCTTCAGTCGAAATTGTCCATGCCGACCAGACATCCTAAAGTAATCTAGTCCTATTTTCCAGCATTTGACCCATATCCCTCCAAATCCTTCCTATTCATGTACCCATCCAGATGCCTTTTAAATGTTGTAATTGTACCAGCCTCCACCACTTCCTCTAGCAGCTCATTCCATACACATCACCACCCTCTGCGTGAAAAAGTTGTCCCTTAGGTCCCTTTCATATCTTTCCCCAAACCCTCCGGTCTCAGTAACATCCTTATAAATCTTTTTGCACCCTTTCTAGTTTAATAATATCCTTCCTGTAGAAGGGTAACCAGAATTGTACACAATACTCCAAATGTACCTTACCAATGCCTTGTACAGGCGTAACATGATGTCCCAGTTCCAGTACTCAATGATGGCACACGTGCTAAACACCTTCTTTACCACCCTGTCTACCTGTGATGACAATTTCAAGGAGCTATGTACCTGCACCCCTAGGTCTCTGTTCAACAACACTCCCCAGGGCCCTACCATTAACTGTGTAAATCCTGCTCTGGCTTATCTTACCAAAATCCAACACCTTGCATTTATCTAAATTAAACTCCATCTGTAATTCCTTGGCCCATTGGCCCAGTTGATCAAGATCCCATTGTACTCTTAGATAACGTTCTTCTCTCTCTAGTATAGCAGCAATTTTGGTGTCATCCGCAAACTTACTAACTATACTTCCTATATTCTCCTTCAAATTCTTTACATAAATGATGAGCAGCAGTGGACCCAGTACTGATCCTTGCAGCGCACCACTGGTCACAGTCTCCAGTCTGAAGAACAACCCTTTATCACCACCCTCTGACTCCTAGCATCAACCCAATTTTGTATCCAATTGGCTAATTCTCCCTGGATCCCATGTTATCCAACCTTACTAACTAGTCTACCATGTTAAACCTTGTTGAAGGCCTTGCTAAGAAGTTCATATCAACAACATCTACCATTCTGCCTTCATCTATCCTCTTGGTGACCTTACTGAAGCATAGAAGACTCTCAGCAAGCTTGCCAGGGTAGATGCTGAGAATATGTTTCCATTTGTGGGGACAGAGTTTCAAAATAAGGGGCTCACATTTGGTACTGTGATAAAAAGAAATTTCTACTCTCAGAGGTTCATTCAAATTTGGAACTTACTTCACCAGTGAGAAGTGGAAGAATGATCACAACATCTTCAAGCTTGAGTTAGACAGATTATTTTTAATCCAGCATATGTTGCCCATTCCTAATTGCCCTTGAACTGAGTGGTTTATTAGGCCATTTCAGAGGGCAGTTAAGAGTCAATCACATTATTGGGGGTCTGAAGGCACATGTAGGCCTGAGCAGTAAAGATCTCGGATTCTCTTTCCTAAAGGACATAAGTGAACAAAGTGAGTCTTGCTGACAATCATTGATAGCTTGATGGTCGCCATCACTGAGACTAGCTTTCAATTCCAGATTTCGTTTGTGAACCAAATTCAACTCCACCAGCTGCCATGCTGGGAACTGAACCCATATCTCCACAGCAGAGAATTAGTCTGGGTTTCTGAATTGCTCATCAAGCGACATTGCTGCCAGACCACCACCTCCCTTTTGATTTTCCAGGGAGACAAGAGTTATGGCGGTTGAGGGGCTGCAGGTAGGAAAGTGGATTCAAAGCCCCTTTCAGCTGTTAATAATGATGGAGTGGGTTCAAGCAGCCACATGGCCTCATGCTGTTCCTCCTTCTTACATTTTACTGTGTCTCACAGAGCATAATACTGGCTGAAAGTTGTCTCTTTTCAACCCGTTTACCTCTCATGGTCTCTGACATGATCATAAGATTGAATATCATCATCTTCCTCCTTTCCAACTTTAATAATTGAAAGACACAATCCTATTGAAAATAAAGTTGCAATAATAAGGTTATAGAGTATGCAGCAAGCCATTATAATTCTCTTGTTGAAATGTACCAGCATCAGGTTTTCCTAACCTCCACAGGTAACAGAATAACACCAAGGTTTTGTTCCAACATTATTCCTGTAGCAGTCAGTGCTTCATTGATTCTGTTTTCCACTTCTGTTTCCAGGTGTTGGAAGGTAACCATGAAATGGATTGCCATAGTCTCCTATCAGCCATCCTGATACATTGCTCAGCTTAAATAGTGCACCATCTGGAATTTCTGAAGACAAAAGGTGTCATGGCTGCCTCCTAGTCACATGCATCAAGGCATCAAGACAAGGCTGAAACATCCATCCGTATGCCCAGGTCCCTCTCCAAGGTTTCTGGCCCCAAAGGACAAAGACTCCATTTATCCCCATTTGTTTTTATATCTCTCCTGCTTTAACTCTCAATTTTTCACTCCTTAAATGTCAACTCTTCCACTTTTAGTTGATGCTTGTATAAACATGCATTCTTTTTTGTATTTCCATCACAAATTGTATAAATTTATACTTACTCATTCAATTCGGCACAAATTTAGGAAGAAATTTAGGCCATTGTATCTATTGTGTAATATTTGTTTCCATACAGATATTACATTTGCATCAAACCTTGTGTCATATTGCAGTGATACACTTAGGTATTTTATTCCATTTCAAGTCTGTCAGCCTACTCAAATTAATTCACCTCACTTTTATTCTGTGGAACATAGAGTTCTAAAATTCTGACAAATTTGTGCTCCTGTTTCCCCTTCCCCAAAATAAGAAATTGAAATCATCAATTTGAGATTCTGTGCAATGTTTTTATGTGCTAGAAGCTAATATAATAATCAAGACTCCGTACATTGTGTCCCTGATATCTGTCAACCCATGGAAAGTACCTTTGTAAGTTAAACGTATTGTATATAATTGGTCAGATATGTCATGATGAATCATTAAGATGTACCAGAAAGTTTTTTTTCTCTACTAAATTGACAGTTGACAGTTGACAAGGGCATATCATGGCTCTTCATATCAGATTTTTGTAAACACACTTCTCAGAATCAAATGTGCTGGATTTACCTTTCTTGGCTTGAGAAACATCATTCTTTTCAAACAGCAAGTACCGAGGGCTTTCTGGAAGGAAGGGTAGAACAGCAAGCTGGATAACAGCTGGAACTGCATTTAGCCCAAACATTAATGGCCAACTGGACTCCTTGAAAAGATAGAAAATATAACTGGCAATACACTCCAAAGAACATTAAATAGTAATAATAAAAATTGAAAATACGAGAAATACACAGCAGATCTGGTAACTTTCACCAAGAAAGGGTTAACAGGTTGAACTTTGACTTGATTTATTATTGTCACATATACTGGGAAACAGTGAAAAGTATTATTTTGCATGCTAACAAGACAAATCATACTTTATGTAACTACATCAGGCTAACAGAATGCAAAATATTGTGTCACAGCTACAGAGAAGGTGCAGAGAGAGATCAACTCTAATATATAGAGGTCCATTCATAAGGCTGAGAACAGTGGGGAAGAAGCTGTTCTTGAATCTGTTGGTACGTGTTTTCAAATTTTTGTATCTTTTGCCTGTTGGAAGAGGGTAGAAGAGAGTATAACCAGGGTGAGAGGGGTCTTTGATTGCCAAGCCCCAATCCCATCATCACAAGGAAACACAGGTTGGGGGAACACAGACAACACAACGCCAGGAGTTGAGGGCATTTTTGAGAAGGTGATCGATTTGGTGGTCCCCTCCAAGATCCTTGTCCAATTAAGGACAAAGGGCAGTTTTGCAAGGCAGCTAGATTAATAAGAGATTCTCCACCAGTGAAAGATCAGCAGTCCCAAAGTCAGCTAATGAAGCTGCTGAAGTTGATAGGAAAATATCAGGAGGAAAAAAGAATCAAAATAATAAATACAACATTAACTCTTAGGACTAGAATATAAAGGGAGACAATTTTGTTACAGCTGAACAATGTCCTGTTTAGATCATGACTAGACGTTTGGGCACTGTATCTAAGAAAGTCCTTCCCTTGGAAGGAGCACAGTGCAGACTGACCAGATTGTTACCAGGGTTCCTATAGAAGTGAACCCCCAACCAGGGACAAAAACTCAGGAGCAGCAGAATTCGGGCATGTGTTATTCAAGCAGAATTCACGGATCGTGCAGGAGAGGCCAGAAACCAGCCCCATGTCTGGCCTCGACGTGAGGACTCAATTATTCTCTTAATCTTTGGCTCAGAGCAGAAGCGAGGTCAATGACACTCTGATTTTCCCAGTGGGATACATATTATATACATTTTGTGTTACAATAACCACATACAACGTGGTCACTGTTCTTTCCCCCTTATCCTATACATCCAATCCTGTGAAAAATCTAATCAATGATGGACACCTCTATGGACAGCCCTAGGTTCCTCATAATCTCATGATGTTTACCCGACAATGTAATCGCTAGCAACAAAAACAAAATTGCTGGAAAAGCTCAGCAGGTCTGGCAGCATCTGTGAAGGAGAAAACAGAGTTAACGTTTCGGGTCCGGTGACCCTTCCTCAGAACTCAGTTCTTTTGGTTTTTAATGTAATCACTAGGCCTTGGGATCTTACAATGCATCCCATTAATTCACATTCCAAAGTTAATGGCTATAAACTTGCTTATCTCTAAAAACTGCTCGAACTCTGTTATTCATTGTATTCATTGCTATCACTAATAGATTCCATTACTCATATTTCCCACTGTCCGTATTTACAAGGGAAACAAAGGAAGTTAGTATTTACCAACTGCTATAAAATTCATAGTATTAGTTCTACTATAAAGTTAGTTATAAGCAAAATTTTATGCTCACCCCTACTGTTAGCAGTCTTTAGCTAATGAGTTGTGAGCAATTTGTTTCTCACTGTATGTACCAGGCAATCCTATCTTTATCCTCATTTGTCTCAGACCACATCCCACTGTCTGCTAGTCTTCTGTGCCTTTAGTTCATGTCTTCCCTTTAATGAGAAGGGTGCTGCTTTACTATCTGAGACTGGTTAACTTTCATATTTTCATTTGAATCTTTATCTCTAATGCTTTTCATGATTTTGTATTTTATATATATATGTGTATCTAAAAATATTAAAATCTGTCTCTGTATTATCTAAAGAATATTAAACCAGAACCTACACTTAATCTTGTGAATAGTTTCAAGAAAAAACTAATTGCTGTGAAATGTCTTTATCTGTTGTTTTCACAGCTGCACTATGACCCATGCTGATCACATTCTCTTCTGGGATGAGATATACTGTCTCTATCGTGACTAACTCTTCACCTAATGAAACAACATCTTTCTCATTGATAAGAGGGAACTCAATCACTCTCAAAGCTTGATGAACTTGTTTGATCCCATAGATTTTTATGAGCCGTAATCCCATTAATTCATCAGTGTTTCTTATTGTGGGATCTTAATTTTCTCTTTCGTGTTTATTACAAGTTCCAAACTGTCTGTTCTTAGACATTTCTTATCAAACTGTCTCTGACTTTTTGCAGCTGCTGTTTGTTCAAAATTCCATCACTTTGAGATAACCCCTTCTCAAAGGTACCGTTGTATTTCACTTAAATGCTGGAGCAAGCTTTTAATTCTGTTCAACTACAGTCAAGCATTTTCTGCATGACTAGAGGGACAGCTTAGCTGTCAGCCATTTTGCGTCTCTCAGTTAGGGAATTATATAAACTACTCCACCGAATACAGTGGCTTAGGATTGTCTTAATTGAAATGAATTCACAAAGGTAAACAGAGAGAAACTTGTGTTGTGGGTCATATATATGACCAGGGAACATAACTTTGAAAATCAGAGCCATTTAGGAAAGAAATTTAGAAGGATCTCATCATGGTAAGGGTCGAGGTCCTGTTGCCCACAAACAGCAGTAGATATTTGATCATTTATCATTTTGAGTGTGAGATTGATAGATTTTTAGTGTTAAAGGACATAAAGTTAAAGTTGATGGAGTGAGGGACAGTTCAACAGCAATCTCACTGACAGCTGGAAAAGATTCGAAGGGCTGAATGGCTACTCATATTGTTATAAATACATTTATGGACCACTTACTTTTCCAATGGTCCACAAATATTTGCAATCATAATACAACCACATGAGAAGACCATCACATCCCATCCTTCACGCACACACACATGCTGTCAACATCAATAAAAATGATATAAGGCTCAGCTGGCCTTGTTTTTCCTGGTCCCCAAGCAAGAAAAAAATTAACAAGCACATTTTGTAAAGGCAAAGCTATTGGAATGAAATTAAAATAAAGTACAATACATTAATCACCAGCTTGCACCCTTCAGTGCTGCTATTTCCAGATTTGGCAGGGTCAATGGAAGGGGACCTAATATCCACAGAGCCAGTGGCTGTTTGAGCAATTATAGACACAAACTCCCTCCCAGCCTGTTGCATGGAGCTGGAAAGATCATTGATCAGGACTTGGCTTCGTTCCTGTCCCGATAACAAAGAGGGCATATCATCAGCTCCTGGCACGAGTCAACCTTTTTCTTAAAATCAGCTTCCCCAAGAAGGAAAATTCATTAAACTTACAAAATGACACATACTGGTTGACTCGATTTGTGTACTTCAAATCGGAGCTCCAGCATGACCAGTTTGTTCATTTCCAAGCATTACTGTTTTCTGTTTTAACTTTTTTTTTCCCTTCTAGGACATCTTCTACAGGATTTCTGACCAAACACCCCACCCAGTGTGGCTCACATATGGCTATCTGGGCAGCTCACTCAGTGGGTACGGTGGGTCTCCACAAGCCTTGGAAAGAAGTGCCCAGTCTCTAGCTTCACCCTGTGGCTGCTCCCTCTCAGCTTCCACCTAATTGCTGGTGCAAATGACCTTCTGCTCCTCGCAATGTTGACAGGAAAATCCTAAAATCAGTAGGACTTAGCACAACCAGATCCCGATCATTTTCCAGCAAGATCTCTTGATCTCCTGCTGGAGTCACAGTGGGAGTCAGGTGGAACATCTTTGGGATTTCAAGCTCTGTATATTGTATTGATGTGGGCCCTGATGTGTCACAATGTTCGAACAGGTTGTTTGATTCAGTTTAAGTACCGGTGGATATTCATTTCCTTTCCAAGGACCATTTCAAAGTACTTCTGGTATCAGCATTCTGTTCTTTCTGAGAATGTGTCAGGGAGAAGTGCTTTTTCATCGTGAAGCTCAGGTGCACTATCTATTTGGTAACAAGAAATATTTCTCATTTATTCATTCAAAGAGTGAGATATTGAACATTTCAGCACATTTACAGTCATTACAGCAGACAGGTAATAAGGAAAGACAAACTCATTGCTGCTGACATTCCTCAAATCCAACAACTCAATTGTCGCATATTTGCGATTGCAAACAAATTCATGCTGCGAGGAACAAAGTAATTGAGCTCCAGGTTACAGAATAAGATTGCTTATTCAAGTTCTATATTTTCACTTGTTATTGTAATAATTTTACATTTATATCATATCAGTTCATGATTATTTGTTGGTGATGCAAGATATGACTTATGAGTTACTACGAGCATGGACATTTTACCTTATTGCAGTGACAGTGCACTGGAGTTTACAGTTACCTCTGGGTGGGTCTTGGACTTAGGGAGCTGCAGGGACACCTAATATATAAGAGGTACTCATCTCGTCCCACCCACCCTGACTTGGCCCCATCATGTGGTCAGTGGACAAGCTCCAAAATCAGCAGCCTGGAACTGCTGGCTATTCAAATTAAATGTGCAATTGATATTGTGAACTAGCCAATTCACCTGAATCTTGGATAACAAGGTGTAGAGCTGGATGAACACAGCAGCGCAAGCAGCATCAGAGGAGCAGGAAGGCTGACATTTCGGGCCTAGACCCTTCTTCAGAAATTGGGGAGAGGAAGGGGGTTCTGAAATAAATAGGGAGAGAGGGGGAGGTGGCTAGAAGATGGATAGAGGAGAAGATAGGTGGAGAGGAGACAGACAGGTCAAAGAGGCGGGGATGGAG